TTTTTAATCTTAGCGCTAGGACCTTAGAGATGATCTTATACATGCTTCCCACCAGGCTTATAGGTCTGAAATCCTTTGGTTGGAGAGCGCCCTTCTTCTTAGGAACCAAGGCAATAAAAGTTGCATTTGCCTCTCTCATAGAACTCTTCAAAAACCTCCAACAAATCCTCTCTAGTTATCTCCCAACAATCTTGATAGAAGGCCATTGAAAAACCATCAGGCCCAGGAGCTTTAGCTTGACCCATGGAGAAGATTTCATTTCTCACTTCTTGGGCCTCAAATATTCTTTCCAAAGATTTCAATAAGACACTATCTTCCACCCTCCACTCCAAGTCCTCTAAGCTCTCACTAGGTCTCCCTGGGTTGTCATACACTAATTTGAAGTGATTAACCAAAGCTTGAGCTATATCATCTTCCCTAGGTCTTCCCAAATGTCAAAATCCAGCTGAAAGCCACCACCTAGGTGAGATAGGTAGAACTCAAGTCTTCCTCGGTTCAACGAAACATTACTTACCCCCTGATCAGATTGTTCTCGAACAATCTAACCATAAACATGCTTTTGGGGTTTTCCCTCCAACTTTAATCTCCATTGGTTCTGTCTACAGAGTTTTCTCTAAATTCTCCAACAACCAAATGAATTCATCAATCTTGCTGGAAGAAATGATGTCTAAAGGTTTGGCTTTCCACTTCTAACTTCAAAGAAAATGTTTTTACTTCACTATTTTGAGTTAGTCTCAATGTGTACAGTTTTAGAGACAATTTCTTCCTACTTCAGATCATCAATCCTTTTCTCCATTCCATTTTTTGAAAATAAACAAGAAATTCCAGTCTTGGAGGTATATTATCAACCAATTGGTAATCATCCAATGCATCCACTGGTTATTTCATATCTCTCTTTGTGTTCTACATCCCTTTCTACACACATTCACCATATGAAGTGATAACTTGGTGAGACCTGTGAGTATCCTAAATCCTACATGTACCATGGCTTCCATCCATCAGTCTCTCCCTAGAGCATCCTATTCCAAGGCATTTCTTTTAGAGAGCCTCATTCATTTGCCTTAAGCTTTGAAATCCCAAGGCTCCCGTCTTTCTAAGCTTGTATACCTTGTTGCTACATTACCAAGTGAAGTCGTATTTTTTTTAATCTTTTTTTTTTTTGAAGAAGATAGTGGAATCTTATCTTTTCACTCATCCCATAAGAAATTTCTCTCAATGCCAAATTAAATAAGTTACATTTTCCAATACTTATGGAAAATACAGAGTTCTTATTTTTTTGATAGTAAAAATATACCATCTTTGCATTTCTTTTCATTGAAAATAAATCACCATCATCACCACCCATGCCTTATCCCAACTATATGGCCGGCTACATGAATCCTGTTTCACCAATCCATTCTATTTAAAGCCATATCCACTGTTAAATTATTAGTTCTCAAATAATTTCTTACTACTTCTACCCATGTCCTTTTTGGTCTACCCCTAGTCCTTCTAGCCCTTTCAACTTGTAACAAATCACTAATTCTAACTGGTGATGTTGATGGACTTTTTTTTTCTTTTTATCAGCAACACAAAAAAAGATTTCATTAAAATTAGAAAAAAGAGGTACAGGAAGTTGTGAAAAGATACAACAGACCCAAAGGGAACAAATTTGTTTGAGAATATTACAAATGAGCCCAATACATAGGCTGTCTCTGAATCCCTTGCTTAGCTAGCCCATTTGCCAAATGGTTTGCAGATCTTCTAACCCAATTGACTTGAATCATCATTTCTTTAGATAGCCATTTGAATCTTCTGAAATCGTTCCTTAAATTCCAAGTTATTCCTTTTCCCTTTTTCAGCCAACTCACAACTGTTATTGAGTTCCCTTCCGTAATCAGTTTTTCGACACCCAATTCTTTTGCTTTCTCCACCCCACAAATTGCTGCTAAAAATTCTGATTTGAATACATCACCTTGCCCAATTGGATCTGAGTACAATGAGAGTATATTTCCTTTCTCATCCCTAATTACTCCACCAATACCTGATAGTCCCAGATTACCCACACAGCTACCATCAAAATTCAGCTTCTTCAACCGCAACTTTGTGGTGACCACTACACGGAGACTTTTTGTCTTCTAGTTGTTGATGGTCTTCTATGCACATGATCAAACCATCCTAGTCTACTTTCTCTCATTTTATCTTATCAGCTATTTGGGCTACTCCTACCATCCTATGGATGACTTCATTCCCGATCCTATCCTTTCTAGTTTTTCTGCTCATCCATCTTAGCATTTGCATTTCTACCACACACATTTTCTGGACATGTTCCTTCTTGACTTCCCAACACTCTTCTCCATACAACATAGCTGGCCTTACAACTGTTTTATAGAATTTTCCTTTTAGCCTAAGAGGTATTTCCTGTAACATAAAAGTCCAGATGCACCTTCCATTGCCCATCCTGCTTTAATTCTTTGGTGACAGCCTCCTCAATCTCTCCCTTGTTATGAATTATTGAACCAAGGTACCGGAAATGGTCACATTAGTTATCTCATGCTTTACAATCCTAAGTGTATCCTGATTTACACTCCTATTAGTACTAAATTTACATGTCATATACTTTGTTTTGGCCAACTTATTTAAAGCCTCTTGTTTCTAAGGCAGCCAATAAATACCAAATTTGGTAAAAGATGAAAACTTGTATTTTAGGAATATTTGGTGCCAGTATTATTCATTGTCATCATCATCCATGCCTTATCCCACCTATATGGGGTGCTGAATATTTGGTGTCAGTATTGACATGGAAATACCAAATTTAGTAAGGTATGCAAATATTAGGGTACAATGTGTTAGGATTGATTTCTTTTAATTGCTTATCAGGTTGTCTCTGACCTGGTGTTTCCTGATATTGGTTTTGTTTATCAGGACGCTGCCAGAAATGCAGATTTAATCTTGAAAAATGCAGAATCACTCCATTTAAAAGAGATGAATGAATGGCAATCATCAACTGAAGTGTTAGAGGTAAAGAAGATGGAATTGGAAATTGAATCACAATTAATAAGTGATGTATGTTTGGGATTAAATGATTCCATTGAACAGTTAATCAAGGATGACAGAATAGAAAAAGAGTTTCTTTGTAAGAAACGAGATATTCTGACAGAGGAACTGGAGAACTTGCTTGATTTAGTAAGACAGAAAGAAGCAGAGATTGCAGACAACAATTCTAATATCCAAGCCGTTGAGAAAAGGATTGAGAACACAGTCTCTGGTTTTCGTGATGCACAGTCAAGCATTGATATGAAATACAATAGCCTGAAATCAGCTCTCTCCGAAGTAGAGTCAGAAAATGAAGCTTTATCCATGAAAAAGAAACAAGCTGATTGCATCCTTTCTCAAGAAGAAAAGATTGGAGGAAAACTCAGGGAACTTGCCAGCGTTTCCATGGATGAAGCAAAAACATGCCAAGAACTCCTTGGCCTAAGAAAGAGTCTAGCATTGTCCATCTTGAAGTGCAGAGAAGACAAAGTTAGGCTTGCCAAGACTGAGGAGAAAATTTTGGAGGATGTTCAGAACCTTAGACAAGAGATTTCTGCTGCAAGAGCTTTTCTGCAGGTTTGTTTCATTTGGTGAATATTCTCCTTTTCCTTGGTGCCAATTTTGTATACCAGTTTACTTACAACATGTGATCCCTATTTTGTAGCATTTGCTGAGTGCAGTTGACATATTGATCATCTTACCTTAAAAGGCAAAGCTAGGCCATTTATGATTGGTTCTACTGGTTTTAACTATCCATCAATTATTGTATTTAATAATCTACCAAAAGGAGTAAAATATTATTGTTGATTCTGCTCAATGTTTTTCTCTTTTAAGTAAATAGTGCATTAAATACCACATTAGTATATAGCATAATAATCTATTCTCTTCATAAATGTTTGCAAAGCATGCAAACATTTTCTAGTATAACCAAATGACTCTAGAATGGTCATCCACAAAAGTGACAAAATACTTAAAAAGCTCAAATAGGAAACATCTAGACAAGGATCCCAAGCATCATAATGTATAAGTTGAGCAGGACGTAACACTTGACTAGTAGCTTGTTAAGGAAATGTTGCTTGATGAGACTTGTTGAACTGCCATGTTTCACAATCAAGAGATGGCTCTAACTGATGTGAAGGATGCAAACTGTGTAAAGATAATGGAGATGTATCAGACAGTAATGACAAGTACAATACTGTTCTACCCAAGCCAGCATCTATATAATGGAGGCCACCTAATTAAAGCTCTCCACCAACTTGCTTCTTTGTCTTTAGGTCCTTAAAAACACAATAAGAAAGATAAAAAGTAACACAACAAAGTAGTGATTTGGTAAGCTTACTTATTGACATGAAATTAAATGGAAACTGAGGAACATAAAGGACTGAAGACAATGACAAGTAATGAGTGTGGCTAACTTTTCCAACTATAAACACATGTAATGAGGTATCGTTTGTAAGAATTGCTTGTTGTGAAGAGGAATATGAAGAACTGTATTGAGTACCCTGTCATGTGGTTGACTGTTCCATAGTTAATGACCCATGGAGACTTGGCAAAAAGAAGGTAGGTGGAGCCAATACTTGATGACTGTGCCAAAGTAGTTGTGGAAGAAGTAGAGGGCTGTGTAGCAGCTATAAGTCTAGCATACTCCTTGGAAATGGTAGCTGTGTCACCTTTTGGTTATGTGGATGTGGTAGATGGTTGTGGTGGGGTAGATGTGTTATAGGAATCAAGCAGCACCCCTGAAGACATTCCAGAAAGAAGGTCTTACAACAGGTCTTGAATCTCCTGATATGGCATAATGATGGTACTTGAGATTTGAACTGAATTGGATGCCAAGGGTATTTTTGTTATTTTACAATTTTCTGTAGGGTCCAATGATAGGGTTTGATTG